GGATATTATTGACACAGGCTTGTTGACCTATCCTTGGACAAAGACTGCCTGGAATCCTAGATTTCTTTTTCTTGCCCACCCCCACCCTTTCTTTATTTTATTTTTGCATTCTGTCCTATATTCCCTGTAGATCCCATCGCCACTTGATCTCTGCACCACTTGGGAAGAGGTCAATCTTTCATGCCATAAGAGCCCATTTTGGAAGCTCACCTCATTGCCATTGATTGATAAGAGTGTGTGTAGAATTTGTAACTTATCTGGTAGGGAAAAAAAACTAGTGTTCTTCAGAGTGTTTTTTTTTTCGGGGGGGGGGGGAACTGTGGCGGCGGCACACTTTCAGTTTGAAATAGGCAAGAAAAAGACAAAGTGGCGCCGGTGTCCATGGTGTGAGTTCGAAATGTGCAAAAAGTTTAGCGGGGGTCTAAAACTGCGCCAGTCATTACCCGCAGTGGTGCTTGGCAGATCTAAGGTCGCCTTTTTTGCTCCATTAAATTTCGGGAACTGCTAAAGTTGCTTATTCTGAACGTTGGGTGTGACTCCAACGTACTTGCCCCTTTTTTTCCTTCTTCTTTTCTCTTTTTTTTCTAAACAATGGTTTGGGATGCTAATGGTCATGATACGAGCATCCCCCAGTAGTATCTCCTACAATTGGCTCCTGTCTATTGGTGGGGAGCGTCAGTCAGCTGCTGGGACATAAGTCGCCCGATTTAGGTCGATATCTTAAGCTCCTGGGGGTATGCGTTCTGTTCTGAAAACGCCGTACCCCCTGCATGCCAGCTGAGTCCAGATACATCCAGGGGGTATGGCGTTTTCAGAACGCCATACCCCCAAATGCGGTAACCCCTGGACTTCTGTGAAGCCCAGATACATCCAAAGGATCCGGCGTTTTAAGGATGCCAGGCCCTCAAGAGCATAAAATTTCCACCTGAATCAGGGCAATTATGAGGTTTCAATTTCATTCAAAATATAAAAAATGTCTGTGTTTTACGAAACTGCTGTTAATTACTCCCCCTGTCTCAAAAACTAAGAATTAAGAACTTATTTAAACCAAAATGCAAAAATTCACCATTCAATAATGAAAACTTCTTCTTTTTTTAACCAAAAAAATAATAATAATAATAATGGAAACTTTTGCTAATAAAGGACAGATGGGCCCTGCCAAAGCCTTTTTTTTTTTTTTTTTTTTTTTTGTTGTTGTTGTTGTTGTTGTTGTTGTTGTTGAAAAGGTGGGATACTAGACAGATGAGATTCACCCACAGTAATCGGTCATTCGGTTGTCCAGATGAACCCCTCTGAAGACCCCACCCACCCTTCCTTTCATCATGTGCCCTGGCGCACAATAATCTGTCATTCGGCTGCCCAGAATTCAATAAACACGAGCGCCTTTATAGACCCTGTAACGACTGACTCGAAAGAGGAAAGCATAATTGATTTCATGCACGGACTTGATTAAATTTTGCAAAGTCGGTCCCATCTTGGGTCATTTTGGTACGCGCATTTTATTTATCTCTATCTTTTTTTTCCATCAAATCGCAATTGCAGATAACGGGAATCGAACCCGTATCCCACACACCGCCCGTCACACCATGGGAATTTCTTTTGCCCGAAATCGTCTCTATGATAAACCAACGACTCCCTTTGAGGAAACCTTGGGTTTGAAGTCTTTTGATGTATTTAGCGGTATCCGCAAAGACAGTCAAAGTACCTAAAACACTGAATAAAAAAAGTAGCAATATTTGGAAACAACGTCCAAAAATTTGAAAAAAAAAAAAAAAAAAAAAAAATACCCAAAACAAAAAAAAAAAAAAAAAAAAAAAAAAAAAAAAAAAAAAAAAAAAAGTTGTAGCTAATACCCAAGGCACAAGGAAACAAAATAGTATACGAATTTTTTTTTTCAATATGTTTATTGTGTTGTGGGTTTCGTGTGCTGGCACGAAGTGTGGCGTCAGAGTTTCCATAGTACATGAAAATGGAAGGGAAGCAGTTAGTAGTCTTGCCAAACTGGTGGAGAGCCGTGTGCTTGGAAATCTTGCACACTTAAGTCAGATTACCCATTAAAACTTGTAGAAACCACCGGATAAAAAAAAGCAAACACATATGTCACAAATTTGTGCTCTATTATTTGACAATCTGAGTGGTCTTATCAATCGGCATTTTTTCGGGGCTCACACTTTCTTAATGATTTGTGCACCGCTATGATTAGCCTATTAAAATACAACTTCTTCCATCATCAACAATCTGATTTGCATTTTTGCACAGAATTACTGAAGTGCCCTAAGCCAAATTCGACACGGAAACTCCAAAAATGATTTGCACTTCCGTGTCGAAGACTCAACGGCGAGGTAAGAACGAAATACGGCTTGAAATTTCTCAAACACAACAGAATTTATAAAGAGCCAAATGGAATAAGTTGCTGCTAGAATCATTCTTTTTTTTTTTTCTTTTTTTTTCTTTTTTTTTTTGTGGTGAAAGCCCGTGTAAGCCCTCCATCCCGGCAATGGTAGGAGAATCGTCCGGATTGAGGGCTTATCTGTTGGGCTGCTCCATCTATTGGTGGGGAGTGACATCTGCTGGAAACCGGGTCCGGTCCTAAAATCATTCTAATGGCTGCTAATGTTGCCACGTTGGGCGAAGCTTGAAAAGTGCCTACTACTAAAATTAAAAACTCACCAATAAAGCTAGTACCCGCAGTGTAATTTAATTGAATGGATAATTTCATGATTGAATGAATAATTTCATTTAACTAATTCAGTTGGGGAACGGATCCCAAGTTCGCACTTGGTTGGTATTCGGGATCGCCCGAAAGTGCAAACACTGGGGGCGACGGAGAGAATTTCTCACAGGCAATCTCTTTTTTGATAATTTGCGTGATAGCGTTGTGATCTATAGAATCAAAGCAGGTAGGTATGTTGCCTTCGATGACCCACGTTTTTTCTATGCAAAAAATCGATTGAAATTTGATCCGGCTTAAGCTAGGAATAACTAAACACCAAATTTGATAACTAAAAAAATGAAAACAAAAAAAAAGGGCGAAGCTTGGGAAAATTTGCATATATGTTTTCAAAGCTTCAGTCATTTATGTCCAAATAAATGATGGTTTTTCTATGCGTAGAACAAGAAAAGGTTTAGCCAAGCATTGGGTACGAAATAACCTCCACTCATGGTGACAAAATGAAACAAAAGCAAAACTAGACAAAACAAAATTGGATGATTGAACATGGCCTCAATTTTCGGGAGAAAACCTCTAGATAATCAACTGTAGGTTGAACCGTACCCCAAACCGACACAGGTTGAACCATACTAGAAGTTTCGTGTCGCTTGCAGAGTATATACAAAGTCTTTCTGGTATATGCTATACGAGCGAAACGAGCAGCAACCCAACCAAGTGAGATATCCAATGCAGCACCGTGTGCCCCTTCCTGCTCACCTCGGCTTGAATCTCCTGATGGGTTGCTAAGAGTAAGACGAAACAGCCTGGCACAGTCGTGCTTTTGGGTGGATTTTTATATAGTGAACACTCTCTCTCTCTCTCTCTCTCTCTCTCTCTCTCTCTCTCTCTCTCTCTCTCTCTCTCTCTCTCTCTCTCTCTCTGTGGTGGAGCTGTGTATGGCAAACATGATAGTAAAAGTCCGATGAACATTCTGGTACTTTGGGTTGAGTTGTGTTTCACAAACATCACAACACACACACACCAAGGGGACAATTGTGAACATTTTCACCAGATGAAGTCTGACTCACAGCTGGGAGCACTGCACCTCATGGCAGTTCAGTAGTTGAGATGGGCACAATCCAGAATTTTTACCGTACATAGATAGCACAGAGTATATGCACATTAGCATAGCATGTGACTAGTCCCGTCTAATTGTAGCACCTCGTACTGCTGTGTGTACTCCTCCGCGCGGCACAATACATGTAACTTAAGCGCTATGTTATACTTCATACCCTATACTTGCGTGCTATGTTGTACTTCATACCGTGTACTTGCATGCCATGGTATCCTTTGTACCGTGTCCTTGCGAGCTATGTTGTACTTTGTACCGTGTACTTGCGTGCTATGTTATACCTAGTACGGTGTCAGCTGTGTGCTCATTTGAAGGGCAGGTGTATGATCAAGTACGGTGTCAGCTGTGCGCTCAGTTGAAGGGCAAGCGTATCGTCAAGAGACACTCTCCCACTGGCAAATTTTCTGACAGAATTTTGTCGATATCAGGGCCAGATACGTCCCGGAAATCCGCGTGTGAGCATGCCCAGCTACATGCACTCCTCCTCCTCCTCCCACATCGACACCATCCCGCTCTCCCATCGGGACAAGTCATCAAGAGGGTACCTCACCTCGCCGATTGGACTCAACATACACCCGGGCGACAATTTGTGCGGCAACTCTTTGCCTTTGACGATGAGGTGTGTGACATGAACACCGCGCGCCACGAGTGCGTCAGCAATGAGCAATCTGTGGCATCTCCAAGGTGCGACCTCTGCACACATCACTACGCATCGGCCTCCTGACCTTGTGGCTTCAACGACAGAAGAAATTTGCACGCGGAACCCGTCACTGTCCATGTACTCGATGAACCCTCGAAGCCCTCCATCTTCTTTCAACCCTCCATCGTCCTGTTCTGTTTTCAACACATCATTTCTCGAGCAAGACGAAGAGGAGGAGGTGTCGCTTCTCGAGGAAGAACAAGAGGCTGCTGCGGCGGGGATGGTGTTTTGTCCCTTAGGTTTACGTAAACCACCCAACTTCTTGTTGTGCCTATACTCGATCCCGTGACTTGCCAGCACCGCAATGAAACTTTCTGACTTGTTGAACTGGGGATTGCGCCGAGAGCGCGGCACTGTGCGAACGTCGCACAGCAGGGAGGCGTCGCACAGCTTCAATAACTCTACCAGCTCCTCCTTCGTCCGACTTCCATGGCCAATGGTCCGCACAATTCCACCATGCCAAGGGCCAGCACTACCCATGTCCATGTCTATCTCCATGCCTCTCTCTTTATATTATATATATATATATATATAGTCACAAACAGAACTGCCCGGTAAACCGTAGGCAGAGAGAGAGAAGAGGACAACAAACGAGGGGCTAGTCTATTGGACTCGACGCTGCATTGTGTTTGTCTTTTTTCTCAAGGGTAAACCCCTACAGCAAGTGAGCAACTCTATCTCTCTCTCTCTCTCTCTCTCTCTCTCTCTCTCTCTCTCTCTCTCTCTCTCTCTCTCTCTCTCTCTCTCTCTCTCTCTCTCCATCTCTCTATATATGTATTCTATTGGACTCGAAGTTGCTGGGACT